TGCAGTAATTTTCAATTCTTCATGTTTTCGGAGGTCTTTTTTAGAGAAAATGCTTGGGATATTTAAAATCCCTTCATCACCATGAATTCAGGATCTTTCGGTGTTTTCTTCTGCTAATGTTACACTGTGCTCTCTCTATAAAAATTGAAGATTTTGGATCATTTCGTTTTCTGTGATGTGCACATAATCCTTCAATGGGCAGCATACCAATCCTAATCCTTGATTTTGCGAGATTTTCGGATGCATTCAGCACGGATTGAATAAGCATACCAATGTAGTTGCCGTCCACCTTACTCTCCGCTTTTTCAATAGTATTATTTTTGCGTTGCTAAAATTGTTCAAGCTTTAATTCAATTTAATTCTTAATTCCGACAACCCATTTTGAAAAGGCTGGATTGTAGCATATAAGAAAAATTTGCGCGTCTAACCTGGTTTTTACTCGTTTTTGTTATTTGTGATTTTCCACATCCGTCTATTTTATCCGCATTTTTTCACGCTTTTTTCAGTTTGGCGTTCCTGTGTTGCGAAAATTATACAATTCAAGTGATGATACAGTAAAAGTCCGGGCGCTGATGGGCCTGTGCAAATGCGCTTCTGCTGGTGGCGACGATGCAGCGAAACAAACGATGCAGGAAGGAAGCACATTGAAACTTGCGAAAACGTGCAAGAAATTTTTGCTGGACGTGAACCGATACACCAGCGATGTAAGGAGGTCGGTCTCTTCCGTCGATGTTACCACTAGCGAAACGTTCAGTTTTTCCGTGTTTTTTGCGTATTACATTGTAATGGTGGCGCAGAAACCCAATAACATGAAAAGCTGGAAAACTGAAACTTTAAGGGGGCGTTTATTGCCCATGTGCGACCAAGCGAATCCGTTTCAGCTTTCGCATGTACCTGTGTTTCAACATATAGACACAAAGGAGTTAGGGTATGGACGCCTTATCCTATATTTTTCCAATAATTTTTATTTTTGAGGGTGGTGCTCTTCGCTGCAATTGCCTACATTCTAGAATCGCAGTAGTTTTTTTGCGTTTACTTTAAGAATATTTCATAGCTTATCGAAAATCACTGAGTGCATGGTTTTTGGCTTTCGCTACAGGTTTTTAGGCTTTAAAGTACTCTTCAAGCAGAGTTTTGTATTCTTAGAAGTTCTTTAATTGCAAAGCAGCACTTTTTTCGCTTAGTCCGAGCTTTCATCATCAGTAAGCTAAAAAAATTTGACAGTTTTTTCTTGCTAAAATTTAGCAGTCTTTCCAAGCCAAACGCGACGATTAACAGAAAAACTTTTTTTTTTTAGATTTGCACTCGAAGGATTGTCATATTTGACGCTGGACGCCGATGTAAAAGAATGGATTGTCGAAGATCCACTGCTCCTGCAGGCAATGCTTTGCCTTGCCAAGGTAAATCAACATTGCCTGTTTATAAATTTCAGTACTTGAGATGAACAAACATTGCAGTGCCAACTTGATTCCACTTTAAGAATTTGCATTGATGCCTTAACATAGCTTGCTGTTCCTTCACACCATCGATGCAACGGCTGAGCTTTTCCCCTCCCTTTCCTTCCCCCTCCCCTGCTCCAAAAAAAAAAAGAAGGAAAATGAAGATTATGGTTATCTACATTCATCGCATAATTGAATCGCCAGTCTGAATGTGCCAGTCACAAATCGCCAGTCGTAGACATGAAAAAGAAGTATATAAATTTGGTCGTTTCAGAAATTCATTGCTTTTTCGTCCGATAATCGTTTATCTGCTGTTTATTCCGACTTTCGTTCTCTGCATTTTCCTGCTTCGTTTTTATGCGTTTTTTGCAGCAATGCAATGCGAAAAACGCATATTGACGAGAGGTTGTCTGTGTTTCGATTTTTTGTTGTTATATATTTCCTCCGTTTTTATGCGTTTTTTGCAGCAGTGCAATGCGAAAAACGCATATTGACGAGAGGTTGTCTGTGTGATTTTTATGCGTTTTTTGCAGCAATGCAATGCGAAAAACGCATATTGACGAGAGGTTGTCTGTGTGTCCGTGGTCTGTGTGTCTGTGTGCCTGTGCGTCTGTGTGTCTGTGTGTGCGTCTGTCACGCACTTTCATCTCAGGACCTATAAAGCGTCGTCACGCACTTTCATCTCAGGACCTATGAAAGCTGCGGGGCTGAAATTTCGGGAACTTAATCTACA